TCCCCTCTGCACCTTTCTTAAGGCCAATAATTCGTATGTTATCTCTGCGGCTCCTGTTGTCGCTGTCCTCGGCCCAGTGGGTTAAGATCTTCACTCGTTGTTCATGTTCGGCTAGCTTGTTTTCCAGAGTGGTTGTGCGGTCCTCGCCATCAGATATGCGGTTCTCAGTCTCAGTTATTCGCTTATTGTTGTCCTCGATGTGGCTGCTTAGCTTGTCCAGAATAGAGTGTATTTGGTAAACTTCTGCTCCATGAGAGCACCAATCTTTTCAGTAACAGTTTTGGAAACTGTGTTAGCCATGTTTTCCTCAAACGACATGCTGTCGCCATCATCCATGCTAGCCTCTGTGTTAGCCGCAAGCGGCTTTTTTGCTTCGGGACGAGTTCTACGCGGTGCCTCTCGTGGATTAGTATTCCCTTTAGTGCCGGGTATGTTTCCCAGCAAATGTAACCAAAATAATTGAGGTTTAGTCAGTCAAAAATTACATTTATCAGCTGAGGAAGCGGGAGGTCGGCGAAAGCGATCCTCTCAGTCCAAATGCATCACGTGACCCCCCACAGTGTCGTTTTTGATACTGGCACTAGGGGGCGCCAATGATGGACGTTTTCAAATTCTACACATAGTGGCTTTAATTATCATGTCTTTAGCACACGTAAATGTAATTTGTAGAATAGGCCACCTTCAAGAACTGCAAATAAGAAAAATTAGTTCACTTTTGAGATGATACGTCCTTATTAAACCTCACAGGCTATAGTGAAATACATTGGGAACTGATTTGTAATAACAATATGTTCAGCTGTGATAAAGGTCCATCATATCAGTAGCTTCAGGCTGTTACATAGACAAACCATGAAGCTCATTATTTTTAATTAGCCCCAGCTGTACAGATTCCTGTGTCTAATTTGGAGTTCAACCTTTAGTGCTGCTGATAAATATTAACAGTTACTACTGTCAAACTACAGGCCTGTGCCTTGTCCCTTCTAGTCTAACCTCCCTCAGATAAAAGACAAGGTGACAGTATATTAAAACTTGATAGCATTTTCTATGACATTTCAGATTTCAGATGGGCTCCTATGCATCTCTTTGAGGTGTTAAAGGCCCCTAACACACTGCCTCCCTGTCTTGCACCCTCTAATTTAAAAGTGATGCCAATCAGCCTCAACCCATTCTGTGCTGCAGATACCAAGATACCAACTAAATAGCAAATGAAAATGAGCATCTCTGCAGAGGTCTTCCAGAGACAAAATGCTGAATGCTGTATGTATATGTACAGCTCTGTTAAGCATCAACATTATAAAAGAAAGATTATCCACTGTGACCACAAAATCAGCTAAAGAGCGGGAAACCGTCAGTTCCGAGAGGCAGAACTTGGTACACACACATACTCTCGCCTCTCCTGAAACATGTTTTAATCATGTCTTCATGTTTATAACTGTGTAAACACATTCTGACCCTGTACAGTACACTCTGTGACTGGGACTTGGCCGAATCCCAGCACTGGGAAATGGGAGGCACAAGAATAACCAATGCCACAAAAGGAAATAAAACAGCCTCCCTGTTGATAGGGAAGTCAAACAAAGACGGATGGGATACCAAACTGCTGTAAAATCAAACTTTCTCTATGTGGATGAAAAAGAAATCAAAAGTAAAAGTAATTTGAAGGACAGAAAACAGCCAATCACTCCCTGCTGGGAGGTATCAGGTTTTTTTTTCTTTCTCTGGCCCTTTTCACAATCAGATTATGGATGAAATCTTGGCAGGAAATCTAACAACTTCCTAAGAGCACAAATATCTCAGGAAAGGAGCTTCATCTGTCTCATGATGCTGGACTAGTCCTCCCATCCCCTTTCTACTTCCCACAGAAATGATAAGCGGGTTGATTTTCTGTCACTGGAGAATGATGTTTGCCCTCACAGGAATCTGACTCCTTAATCTGTTAAACAAGCAGGCTATAGGAGCAACAGTACAGTCTAAACAAACAGACATGTGCTATGAGAGGCACTAGAAATATTAAGCATCTGTTTAACAGTGGTGTCTGTCTTGATCAGACAGGTCACCACAGTCCACCTTGACATCTGGGGCACAGATGTGGTCCTCAGCTAAACTCTGCTTGCGTGTAAGCATGCATATGTTTTTCTAATAGCAACAGGTTGTTAGTTTTAGCAGCACTTTAAAACCAAGGTGACATTAATAACAAGCAGAGAACATCTGAAACGCGCGTCCTACTGTTTAATGAGTGTGAGGGAGAAGGAATGGGCTGTTCTTAAGGCAAGAGGTGGATCTGAGGTCTGCCTGGGTGGGCAGCGTAGAGTTGTGATCATCGCTTCTATCGATTAATGTGCTCATCAAAGTGATTGCTGAGATCTGTAACACGACATCAAAGTGTTTTCCTGTGCACTGAGGGAATATTGCCAGCATTTTGGGTGCCCTCACTGTCAGTTTCAACTCAACAGCAAAAGTGCCATTTAGGTAAGATGGAAAAGCCTAAGATGGCAAGAAAAAAGATGGTTTTGAAAGGGAGAGTGCTGGTAATAACCCCTCAGTCAAGAACCAGAGTTAATTTGGTGGAAAAGGGGCACTCCTGAGCCGTATGTCTCTTCCCAACAGTTCCAATTTGGAGCCATGATTGTGGTGTTTCGGAACCAATCATTTTACCTTCACTCACTATCCTGCCATCACATTTTAGCTCTTAACTAATCATGGATGTATGCATGCCTGAACGAGACTATGTAGCAGGCTCATATTAAAACAAAAACATTATTCAGCTATATGATACTTAGTTAATACGAGTGTCTTCATGATAAATTTATTTATTTTATTTGTGCAGTCGTTCTTGGCCAGTGGGTGTCATGTGACCTGAAATTTAATCTGTAGCCACTAAGCCGAAACCACCTCACAGCCCAGCACTGCTTTTGGGGACTGTGATGGATGTTCACAACAGACAGTTTAGGTCATAATGTAATGTTTTTTCCTCGCTCATGTTTCTCGCTTCATCTGTTTTCCCAGATCTCAGCATTTAATTTGGTGAGTATGTTGTTTACCAAAAGACTCAGATTACATCACTCTAAATATTACAAAAATATATCATCTAATTTTGTTATTTTCTTATGATTACAAAATTAGATGATGAGACTAATCAATATGACCACAGTGGACTTGAATCTGCCAGGACCAAATGCTCTTAATATACGATAAAAGAAAACTGTTTTGAATATAATTGAAAGCCTGATTGAGCTTGTAGATTTCAGTCTAAAACGGTAACAAAACAGCATGTTCTTATTAAGTGTCGCTCAAAGAGGATGAACCACATTAAAACCCTCTTCCTGATCACGTCATTCACAAAAGTGGCAGAAGCTTGGCTGGGCCTTTGGTTAGCAACCACAGCTTGATGTTCTCCACAAACCTGACACATGTGTCTTCTTGAATAGCAACGAGGAGTGAATTTGGCTGGAGATTATGCTGATGAAAAACCTGTCAGCGCTGTTCAACTGCTGCTGTTTTTGACTGCCTGTGAGGACCTACTATTGTTAATCCTGTTTGCACACACAAAACACTGCCACATGTAGCAGCTTGATCGCACTTACGGGATTTCTTTATTGACTAATGTGAGCCAAAAGCTGTTCACACGCTCAATATGACATTTGACAAGGAGTCAAAAAACAAAAAAGTTCATACAAATAATTCTAATTTCTAAACCTTTATAATTGGACTGTAATTATTATGTGTCATGAACATAAAAATGATATCGTATGAATCACTCATGACTTCTGTTTCACTTTGAGCCCACACTGTAATACTTTTATACTTATGGGGAAAATATTTGTCTTGGTTGGTGGCTAATTAAAGACAGTTTAGCTTTATTTGAAGACATTTCTTAAACCTTTACTATTTTGATTTAAGGTAAAATCTTATCTGAGCAAAGTTTGTGTTTAGTGTTTAACTAGTAATGTTAAAATGTTGGGTTTTAAGTGTGTTAAATTTGTGGTCATTTCAGAATAAACTCGGTTTCTAAAGCCATATGACTCACACTCACTGAGTACTCACACTACAGTGTAAATTAACATATTATGTAATATATACATATGTTCATTAAGTGCATCCGAATGGATACATTTAATTAAGCAATTTTTACACACCTCATACATAAAGTTTATTAAAACTCAGCCAAACAGCTCAATCTTAAATGACAAAAATTACATTTTAAAATCAACTGCAGCGAAGGAAACTGTAGAAAATGTGATAATGTGAAAAAACACGTTATCAGATGAAAAAGAAAAAATAAAGAAAATCCCCATTCAACAGTAGGACAGCTCGAGCAGAACAACAAGGGAGTGACAGATGCAGATAAAAGTCTGACTACATTGAATCCTCTCTAAAACAGTTTTCATCTTAGAAATAATGCAGAGCCAATCGTGCATTGCTGAGGATTGTTCATCACAAGTTAAAAACTACCAACTCTTGAAATAGAAACACTGAGCTGTTGCCAAAACACTTAAGTATCATGCAATCCACCCACATTCCTAATGTGCTCTGTTACAGAATCCTTTTCTTCCATTTGTGGTGGACCCCCAGAGTCCAGTCTAAACAATCTGATATGGTACAACTCTCTCACTCGCCCTCTCCCCTCTCATACTTTTAGCATTACCTAAGCCTTCTAACATCAGCCCTTGCCAAAAGAAGCATGGCTTTGACATCTCAGCAGCTCCAGACATTTGTTCCACAAACTCGGGGGGCAACCTAAAACCTTCCTGCCCAGTCAACCAGACAGACTGCAGGACTGGGTGCAGCAGCCGGAGTAAGGTTTGGCTTGGGTGTGTGCAGAGTTATGGGGTGTGGAGAGGTGCTACAAACTGACACTCCACATATATATATATATATATATATGTCCTCCTCCTTTCACGCCCCGACTCCCACTCTTTCACCCTCCAATTAACAATAAAATACAACTTTAGTGATTTTGAGTCCACAGAGGCGGGTTTGTCCAAAGGTCATCTGCCTACCTGTCAGGACCTCCACACCCAGGAGCTGCAGCCCCCTTTATAGACTAGAAGGGGGAAAGCAGGAGAGGAAATTGAACTAAATGTCAAACAGAAACAGTGAGTGCACAAACATCTCACACATCAACAGTTCTGGCCCCAGACTTCAAACCAAACCACTGGCAATGAGCTGGAAAAATAATACACAAGTCACTCCTTGGCTTGTTTACTGGGACTCATGAGAGAAAACGTTTAGGCATAATGGAAGGAATTAGTTATTATTAATCTGTCAAATACTCAGATGTAGGCAGAGAACGTTCCAGTTTCTTACGTTACAACAAACAGAATAATAATTACAAGATAAGCACAAGATGTTGGGAGCATGTGTACAAATGTTTACAGCAGTTTATCTTTGCCCCATAACACAGTCCTGTTTGTGGTTGAATGTCTGAGTCTACCCCCAGAGACATGACACTGAGATATTCTGCAGCTGTTCACTGAGGGAGAAAATCCAACCAGGAGGATGTTAGTTTTAAGAATTACAAAGTCTCAAACACATAGTATCGCTTTGGGGGACTTTATACATCATCGTTTTGACAATTTACGTGCGGTGTTGCAGTTAAGTTTAGGCTACCATTGGCTGTTGCTGCATATACAGGATGTTTACTCATAAATAGATATACCGCTCTGCTGTCAAATCACCACAACGTTTCCTTTGACGTTAATGAACTAATAAGAGAGCGAATTTATGACAAAACACGCAACATTTTTCATATCAGGAAAATGAACTTTTAAATAATTGTGCAAATTCATCGTTCATATAAGAAATAATCTATACGTAGACCAGAAATGTAACAAAAACCTCCATCTTTTTATGTAATTGATAAACAAAGCTACTCACACTGGAGTTGGGTCGGTTTAATCCACGCGCCTCTTGTGCGGTCGCTCACGAGCCATGATGACCACCAATCCAGGCGGTTGAAACGACCCGACAGGTGTCTGTAAGAAACGTTAAGTGGAAGAAATGGTGATGTATCCTCAGCATGGACCGTGTTCATGTTGGTGGGATTCTGTCGCGGAAATGCGAGACTTTCCGGAGTCTCCATCTGAGTGAGCTCCCCCCCCGCGCTCAACCCCGGAGTGCAGAGGAGAGAGGGGAGGTGCGCGTGCGGAGCGGCGCACGAGTCACCGGCGGAGACCAATCTTATCTACATTTCAACCTCCGAATGCTTTTATTGACTCGGTTTAACGAGCCGTTATGATGAATGGGCACAGCGCTTAAAACGCAAATCTGCAGTCGCTGTGTGGAGAAAGTAGTGCACCTACCTCACCTCATGAAAACTTAACCTAATTTGGAAAATGTTCCAAAAAAAAAAAACTGGATGGAGTTCAAGAGCAACAAAAGCAACAATCGGGTTAAAAATCTGTGACATGTACAAATGCACTTTTATGTTATTTTCTGTATTGATTTACTGTTATAAACCCCATTACTGAAGCTACTGTATCATATAGGCTACTTTAGTGTTCAGGACCAAACGTTGATGCACAATGAATCACTGAAGTTCTTAAGAAATCACTTACACACCATTGCCTGTAAATGGTCCATTTTATTTTATTTGGCCGTTTCGTTTTTATGAACAAATCAGACTCATACACACATCAGCGCTCCAGCCTTTAAGTAATTCAAAGGTATTAGAGCAAACAACTGTATGTCCTTGAGCGATTTGGAGAATTCACCAGCTTTTAATTTGTAATTAATATTGTGCAAGCAGGGACATTTTTTGGTTACGTAATATCGACAGGATATCGTATTTTTACCGGAACAGCTGTCACGTGCAGGTGGTGGAATTAGTTCATAAAGTTATTCTGAAGTAAAGGAGAACATTTTTTCTTCATTAGCTGCCGTGACTCATTCTGTACGAGTGGGAGTCAGTGTGGATGTTTCACAATAGCACGATAGGCCCTAATGATAAAACCACAAGCTCTGTTGAAACGAAACTGAACTGCAGATGACACCATGGTATTTGTCACGTTGTTTATAAAAGACCATCAGTTTATCCGTTTCAAATATCTTGTGGGTTAATTTCGTTGCTGATGGTGATCTTATGAGAAATGTTCAGAAAAAAAGATGGGAGTTACAGTATTTGCAGTAAATTATTTTGGTGCTGTCATTATTCCACAACCTGCCTTTAACTTTAAATGAGTTCATCTTCTTGAAGACAGTTATCAAAGTGGAACACATGCAATGGAGAGGTGCTGTAGCAAGCTATTCAACCACATTTTGAACACAGGCTGCTGTTGAAGACATAAATATCACTGACACTGATATCAAGTTATTTCTGTGTTTCACCACTGATGCACAATAACTGCTAATGACACATTATCCCATCTATTATACATACATACCCGAAAAAAACTCCATTGCAACAGCACTGTGTATTTTAAGTGTGAGATCACATTGTCAACATTGTCATTGTATGTAAACAAAAAAGACGTCCACAAATGTAAAGTGCATTGCTAGTTACAGTTTTTATCAGCATGGATGGGTTTAATGCTGTGAAAAGACCTATCATGATTAAATTAAATCCTTTCACTTCATTCTACATGTTCCCTGTAAGCCCTGTCATTGACACGTTTCCTCCTCTTTACAGGAAGAAAATTAATTCTGTTGTCGAGAGCCAACTCCCTCGCCATTCATCATGACATCTGTTTTTTCGGCGGGAATAAACAGAAAAAAATAAGCGAAACGAAATGAAATGTTGAGGGCTGCCGTGATGTTCATCTTTGGAGCTCCCACCGGTTGCAACTTTAAAGAGGTAAGATGGTTCATTTCTGACAAGTGAAAGAGCCTGCCCTGGGAAACTGACGCTGCTCTATGAAGATAAAGTCTCATTTGAATAAACTGCCTCCCCTTTAGAGCATATCCATATGCATGAGACTCCGAGTCTAATTGCTGTTAATTCCTGTTAAAATGATTGTGATTTATTCACATCTCACAGAGATGCTCAAGCTGTGTGAATGAAGGGAGTCTAACAGATAGATTTCCCCACAGAGTCACCTGAATCAGTTTTGATCAGTTTGAATGTATCAGATGTGGTTTGTGTTAATAAATGTACTCATATTCAAACACACCATTAAATTACGATATCATTCTGTAGATAGTAATGTCAGTCGGGTCGTTCTTCTCCACAGGATGAATCATTTTAACTTTGGTGATGCCTTTTTACTTTTGCACCACCATGAGGCTGATATTTGTGGATGAATTTCCGTAAAAATTTGGTTCCCACATTGATGTAACAACTTTGGTGGACGCTTAACATTTTATCAAGCGTCCTCAGGTAAAAATTTCAATGTGTGTAATATTTTGGTTTATGACCAAATACCTGCATAACTAAAGGAATTCCCATCAGCCTCAGTTGTACTTTCTCGTTAGTACTGGCAATCAGTGTTTAAAGGTGGACGCTGTGGGACCACCTCCTGCGACTGCTCCTGCTACAAAAATGAAGCCAAAATATCCCGGATGCGAACGCTGCCATCTTGCACTGGTGACGTCATTCAGAGCCAGAGTTTGCACAGTAGAGAATGTTGTTGGAGACGCAGTATCAAAGTCCTACCTATAAACCCGGCCAATTCAAGTCGGCTTTTTATAGCATCACTGAATAAAACCAAATTTATCAGAAATATTAATTATCTACTTTTTTAGTTTGCTCATGTCCCATCTGCTAACATAGAAGCAATGGGCTTTATGACCTATACTGCAGTCAGCCACCAGGGGGGCGAACAAGATGCTTTGGTGTCAGTTTTGGGGTCAAAGGTGCTGACTAGCAAACATTAGCATGCTATAACTCAAAATTAAGATGATGAACATGGTAAACATTATACCTGCTACACATCAGTATATTAGCATTACTCATTGTGACCATGTTAGCATGCTGACATTTGCATTTTTCTCAAAAAACTGCTGAACCTAAGTGCAGCCTTACAGAGCTGCTAACCTGGCTGTAGTCTTGTAAAACACACACACATACACTCACACACAGACACTTGTGTTAGTGCAACTAAGAAAATATTCCTTAAAGCAGCTATAATAACAAAGAGTCAAATTTTTCCCTCAGAACTATCGGACTCGGTAGAGAGCCGGTAGAGACCAAAACAGAGCTAATAGAGAGTGAATATTGGACTTACATCCACCAGGTGGACACAAAAATGACTCCAAATGAATGATAATGTTGCTCCCATTGCTGGGAGTGTAAATAGCAACTATTTGCTAGTCAGCCATAATAACTCAAAAGATGATTATATGTCAATGCTGTGTTTATAACTTCTTTCCACTTCCCTCAGGGGGTAAACCAATCAATTATTGCAGGTTTAATACTCACCTTTTTAACTAGGAATCACGACTTTGGCTATTTGAACTGTTATGGTGGGCTTTTTTGAAATGAATACTGAATAATAATTGGGTTAATACTGCAGTTTTAAACTTTAATAAGAATGCATTTTTAGCATAATTTTATAACATTGTTGCTCTATATTAGCACTGTTGTGTGAAGAACCTTATGACAAAGGCTATATAATTAATTTTACTTACTTTTAATCCTCATCTTCTGTGTCATTTAAGACAGGCATTCTCATACAATATGGAATCCACCAAATTACACCAAAACCACATAACACAGGTCTGCAAGCTTCCTCTATCATCTCTGGAAAGTTGACACTTTCTTCAAAGTCCTGCAGAAGTATTCTACGAGTTAAAAGTGTGTGTTTTTACACTGTTATTGGAGATCCTTGAAGGAAACCCAGGCTCATTAAAAAGCTGAAATTTTCCTCTCTGCGTGCTGCATCCATCTCTGTCTTTCTGAGTCAAATATCTGGATGTCAGCTCACCTTGGAGCGTTTATGATCCAGCACAGAGACATCAGGATTTCAACAGTAAATGTAGTAGGTCTCTAAGCATCTGACTGAGAAATTTTACTTACTGCAGAATCTGTGCATGAGAGGTGAGAGTCAGATTGTTGCATCCCGTTCCCTATCTAACGGCAGCATAGAGTTCATTAGACTTCCATTAGTTCACGCAGCAGCCGTTGCGAGATAATGTCCTCTAATGAGCGTGTTGGAGCTACGTGTGTGTATAAATGTGTGTGTGCAAGGGAGGACAAGCACTCTTGCGACACTGCGGTCTTTGACTTTGAGACAGACTGTAATTAACAGCGCTCTGTCCTTTTCTGTGTTATTAGCACAGCTGACCTTTGAATGCATCAGATCAGTGAAACAACACATCTGGTAAAGCTGCAGTGTTTGGGGAGAGGAGAGGTGAAGAGAATATTAAACAGAAATTGTCAATGAGAGGAAGTTTCATAACTATTGTTGCATTGTTTTGACCAAAGGGCAATATCAATACCAAGATTCTGCCTGATCATCCGTTTATTTATAGGATTTTCAATATTTATTCTCACTCATTATATAAGACTTCATACAAAATGGATGAATTTCAACTGCTTTTTGGGTTGTTGTTTTTATACAGAGCATTTAACTAACAATCTCTCTGTCACTGGCCCAAGCTGATTAGATGATTATATACTCAAGGGCCTTTAGCAGAACAGGCTCCTCTCAGCGTGACAATGGGAAACACACTACTGTTGCTCTGCTTGAGTTCAGCCCACAGTTAAAGGTGATTTAGGGATCTGGAATCCCCCCTCATTTTACTCAAGATTAAATCACATTGCACTCATTTCCCAAGCCATAAAGCCTCTTCCCTGGAAAAATATTTTTTCATCTAGGACTTGACTCCTGTGCCAGTTAGTGGTCTTGTAATCACATCAGTGTGTCCACGTTGGCCTGTGTGCAAAGATTAAAATACGTAGTCAAAAGATTTGTGAGGGAAGGGAAGAGATGGACCAGACGAGCTTAATCGCTGTTGCCTGCCAGAGATTTATCCAAGACATCGCTCATACATTGGCATGCCATTTCCGGACTTTCTTGAGCAAAAACCCTAACTGGGAAGTTATCCAAATATTTCCCCAGAAGTCAGATTAGGCCGGAAGTCTCACTCTAAATCATAATTGCTCTTGCTGTAGCTCAATTTGGCCGCTTTAATTGTTTTGCCACTTTTCTGCCTCTCACAGGCAACTTTTTTTGCTTCTGCAAGGCACTTCTGCATAGAAATAGCTTTATCAAA